TATGAGGTCAGTCTCTTGTAGACAGCATATTGTTGGGTCATGTTTTTTAATCCAGTCTACAAGCCAATGTCTTTTGATAGATGCATTTAAGCTATTCAGATTCAGTGTTATTATTGAAAAATAATTTTTATTCCCTGTCATTTGATTTATTTCTGGTTTTTAATTTGAATTAGTTTCTCTTTGATTGACTATTGTTTGTGTCCTCCTTTTGCAGGTTTTCAATTTTATCTTCATTTCATTTCATTGTACACAAATGGAGCACAATTTTCATTTCTCTGGTGGTGCACAATGTAGAGTCGAACCATTTGTGAAATCATACATGTACCTAGGGTAATGATGTTCATCTCTTCCACCATCTTTTCTACTCCCTGGCTCCCTTTCCTCCCCTCTTCCCCTTTGCCCAATCCAAAGTTCCTCCATTCTTCTTATGCCCCCTATCCCCATTATGGATCAGCATCCAATTATTAGAACATTCAGCCTTTGTTTTTTTGGGGATTGGGTTACTTCACCTAGCATGCTATTCTCCAATTCCTCCATTTACCTACAAATGCCATAATTTTATTCTCCTTTCATGCTGAGTAATGTTCCATTATGTATATATACCACAGTTTCTTTATCCATTTATCTATTGAAGGGCATCTATATTGATTCCATAGTTTAGCCATTGTGAATTGAGCTGCTATAAACATTGAAGTGGCTGTGTCACTGTAATATACTGATTTAATCCTGATTAGACTGAGGAGTGGGATAGCTGGGTCAAATTGGGTTCCATTCCAAGTTTTCCAAGAAATCTCCATACTGCTTTCCATATTGGCTGCACCAATTTGCAGTCCCACTAGCAATGAATGAGTGTGCCTTCTCCCCCACATCCCTGCTTTCCTAAATAAATCTCTGTACTGTCCTTAACCCAATTAGTCTCAAGTTTTCAATTCTGTCAACATAAAAATTATTTCAAAGTTACCATAAGGGGTATATTTGTTGCTCAATTTAAATTTATATAGGTGTTCTCTGAGAGGATAAGACAAAATGGGTTATGTTAATTTCTGCAATACTCAAAAATGATAAGTTGAGGTCAGAACAGTAGGTAATTACCTTCCACTGTTCCATATCAAACCCTTGACAGACATCACTAATCAATTGCTGGGGTTTTTTTGTTTTTCCCCAAACTGAATCACTCTCAAACTCATTATCAGGTAGCATCTATCCATCAGTTAAAATTGGCATATGAAATCTATTTGTCACCATCAGTTAAGCATATCCTACTCACATGAGACTGAGAGAATTCTATTATCCTGTTGAAAATCTGAGGTCATTTTATAAGCAAGCCTTTCACTCAAGTGGGGTGAATTCTTCTTGATTAGACATGGAAGAGCAAGAATCGGTTGTTTTAGAGCAATCCATAGGAAGGGAGAAGTCATTAATATTAAATGCCTAAAAGGAGCCTAACCTTATTTGTTCTCATTTATTGCTCTATGGCCAGCCCCCAAGGACAAAGTGTGACACATGATCCTGTGAGACCAGGGAGTGAATGAATGACTTCTGAGGGAAACTGAAAGTGGTTCTATCTTCATAGTGTTATGGTTACTGTCCTTGAGTCAAGGAGACCCAGCCATG